AGCCCCCCTCCTTTCCTCTTACCGCTCTCGGTGTTTCTGTCCGCCCGCACCGTCTGAAAGCCGCCGATGGTAACGTTCGAGTCCGGAATAAGTTCCTGCAGATGGACATATTTGTTGAATACTTGCTGAATAAACACAAAAAATTGAAAATAAAATAGAAACCAATCCACAAAAATGCAGTTATCAGATGAAGAGCATTGCTCTGTAAGGGAAAAAGTAAAGGTTTATGCTGAAAAGAGAAGAAAAAAAACACAACTGTAATGAATGCGTCCTTTCAGGACCCTATGCAGATGACACAATCCGAGGAAGAGTGAGGAAAACACAGGGAAAAAAGCATGCAGGGGTCAGGATTGAAAACAGGGGGTGTGTCCATGGTGCGCAGGTGTTCTGGGGGGTGAATCCAAGGCAAACTGTCCAAAAGGGAGTCCAAAGGGAAATCCAAGATGAGGCAAATGTCCAGAGCCGGGTGGTCCATCCGAGACTAAGACAAATGGGATTAAAAACCGAAGGGGGATTCGGGGGATTCGGTGGACGGTCAGGGGGAAAAGGGGGGGAACGGGACCAGGCACTACAAGTCACGGACTCCCCTGGAACAGGAACCAATGCAGAGCCCGGAACAGAGTGAGCGACTGGCTTTTAAGGTGGGCTGAATAGGAGGCTGGAACAGGGGGCAGGTGCCCACAATCAACCCAGAAGTGAAAGAGCTGGAGCACCCTTAAGGGGGAGGGACTACAATCATGACAACAACGTTTTGGCTGTGTAGCTTTCTTCAGGTGAGAGAAAAAGAGGAAAGTCAATAGATAATAAAGCATGGGAGAACAAAAGGCAGAGTGGGCACTCAGATGTCGAGAGAGGTGAAGACAGGTGTAAAGTGAAAACCTGCAAATGAAGAGAGAGGATTAGAAGGAAATGTGTCTGTTGTTGAGAGAAGGGGGAAGGATAATTTTGGTTTCAGATGTCTTTCTGCAATAGGAGCGTAGAAACTCCCCTTTGAGAACGCAGACGGAGAGATCAGTATGATCATGGCCATTGGAGGTGAAATGAGAAACTATGGGCTTGGAGAGATCTTTGATCCTCACAGCCCTGACATATTACCTGAAGCGGTCTCCCAGTCTCCTTCCTGTTTCCCCAATGTAGATACAGTAGCTGGGCATTTTCTGCAAGAGATCCAGTAGATAAGGCTGCTAGAGGTACAATATGTCATCTGGGTGATCCAGAATTGTCCAGAGGGGCCTTGAATGTGTGTGGTATTGGATATACAGTATACGTATTTACAGGTTATGCAGCGAATTCTGTTGCAGGGGAAAGTGCCTGGTGTGGATGATTGCTGAGGGCGGACAAGGGAGCTGTGAACAAAAATGTTAGGCAGATTAGGTGGTTTGAAATATGAGATGGTGGGGCAGGCATAAAAAATGGTACCAGTGGAGGGATCATCCGGTAAGATGGGGAAGTTTTTGTTAATGGTCCTGGTGATAGAAAGGATGTTAGGGTGACAGGGAAGCACCAATGAAATGCAGTTGTGAGACTGGAAATTCCTGATTGAGTTGATGATATGAGGGCTGTTTATGGCTAAGGTGAGGGCCCTGTCAATAACATGGGTGTATCCTCTGCTGATGGAAAAAAAGATGTTTTTGGAAATCCATGTCATCACTGCAAAGTCGTCAGAGCCTTAGGAACTGTGAAAAAGGGAGAGAATTTTTAGTTTGTGTGGGGTGAAATGAGCTGTACAAGAGATAGCTGTGTGAATCTGTGGGTTTGTAATAGACAGAAGTAGAGTCGTGGTTGGTTAATGGATAGGTTTATGTCTAGAAATGGAATAGTAGAAGATATGTTAACTGTATACTTGAGGGATGGGTGGAAGTTGATGAAGTGATGCTGGAAATGCTCTAGCTGGTCATTAGAGCATGTGGCGACACCGATGCAGTCATCAATGTAGACGTTGGGGACAACATTGGTGTAGGCAGCATAGAAGCATTTTTCTACCCAGCCGACAAAAATATCATAGCTGAGTCCCATCCTGGTGCCCATGGCGACTCCACTAACCTGCTCATAAAAAAGGTTATTGAATGAGAAAGCATTCAGTGTGAGGACCAATTCCGCAAGACGTACAAGATGTGATGTCCATGGTAAAAATGTAACATTCTGGGCCCTGAAACTGGAAATCATTAAAAAGTTAGAGGGTATGGTTGGTGTCCTTGATATATGAAGGAAGCCCTTCAACCAGCGGTCTCATAAGGCTGTCGAGAAAGGCAGAGATGTGAGTTGTGGGACAGTTGCATGCTGAGACGATAGGGTGTCCAGGGGTTGCTCTGTAAGGTCAGCAGTTTGGAGCAATGGTCAGAACTCTGACCAAATCAGGACCAACTTTGTAAGTGAAAGGTTGTGATTTCATATCCTAATTGAGATACTGCTATGGTACCCCTAGATGAAGTACTTCACCTAAATTGTTCCAGGGAAATGTCCAGCTATATGAACAGGTAAAAATGTAAAGTTGCTTTGGATGTTAGTGTCAGCCAAATACAAATGTACAGCAACCGTAAAACGGGATGTAGTAGCTATTATGTGAAATTATTAACTGATTTTTGTATCATTCTGCAGAAGGTGATTTTGCAGTTTATTGTTTAACAATTCACCAGTTTTTAATGTAGGTCACATGGATAAATGGGTTAGTTAAAGAATTAAAAGTAAGAAAAAAAACACCAACACACAAGCCAGAGGAAAAAAAAGACTTGACACAGGTGTGCAAATTATAATGAGCTCTTTACTAACTCTTGCCTATAGCAAAATGCATCAGATAGAAGTCCTGGCACAAAAGATCAGAAAATCTGCCAGCAGCTCATTGTATCAAGGAATCCCATGAGATGCATTTCCCAATTTGGAGTGTAACATACTGTACATATAAACCTTATCTAGGCCATGGCAAAGTTGCAGTGTCATCATGAATCTCTTCTCATCCCTGGGTTGTGTTCTGGGACACAATTGCCTGTACATGTTTTTGCTCAATGAATCATACAGTATTTCTTCTATTAATCAAGTGAAGACAGCAATTTTCTGGTATGCTGATGTCAATAAAAAAGAAAAAAAGGCAATCACCTTCCTTACCATTATAATCCTGTGTCTTAGAAAAAATACAGGAATGAGTAGCTTAACCATCAAGTGACCTTCAGCAAACTTAATCACATACCTGGGAGCAGTTTTCTACATAGAGAGCAGAGACATTGGTCTTAACCAATATTGCATTACAGTAATTTATTTTACAGATAAACTGATTTTTTTTATCTATATATAAAAGAACTTTTCTTCTCCAGCCAGACTACCCATTTACCCACTGTTTAATGGCTGACTTCAAAGGCTTATGTGTGTTATTTGCTTATTGACAAACATGAAACACATTCATGTTCATTATTCTACTCGATCATGTACTTTTCTATTGCATAATGCCAATCTACAGTTGTCTCGTTTTCCGCAGTTCAAACCTGCATATCTCATTATGAATCCATAATCTTAAAAATAGACATTTGGCCTTGCTAATTAACAAATCCTGGACAGAGAAGCCAATACATAGATATTTTGGAATGGCAACCCTATGGTCGTCCAAAATAACATTTCGCAACTTTGAGTTTTGCTCATTAACACACGTCATGCATTTGGGGGTCTTTGTGGTTATATCTGTTGAATATTTTCAATGTATTATTATTATATCTCATGGAGTAGCGGCTTCTTAAGGTTGATTTTTGCATGAAATAAGAATGTTTAGCTCTTGAAAAGGGACATGTGTGTTAAGGTTTTATAGCCCCTCTGAAATAGATCTAAGACGATGGTTTTATTTGCATGTTCTCCTTTTCCATTATCATTGTTATTGCCGAATCTATAACAGCATTTTAAAATTCTAAATTAGGAAATGTTAGTTCTTTGTACCATGAATATTTTTTAAATTATATTAAATGCATCCTTGTCGCTTTCTGATTCATTCCGGACATATTTAGATTCATTTTTGCTCTCTTGGCAACTCAATATCTGGTAATAACAACTGGATTCTTTACAATAACGTCGTGTCAACGTTTCACCGACAACAGCACAAAAACTGCGCAATGCCACAACATAGACAATGTCCATTAAATGTCCTTTCTTCACCACACTAACCTTGAGATCGGTACTGTTTTAGATACACGCAAAGTAATGAAAAACAGATGAAGGAGCTGGTAAATTATTTGGGTATAACACCACAGTGTCAAATGTACATTTTTAATTTAAAGGTTAAAACTGTTACACTGTAATATCAAACTCTTTTAAACTTTAGTAACCCTGCTAGCAATAGAACAGTCTCCCTGCACGTAATCCGCCCTACAGGTATCAGAAACAGAACACGGACGTGGCACAATGGTTTCGTTTTTTATGATATCTTTAAATTCGCACTGAACCGATCACCCACACGCTCCCATGCTCTTCTCCCATATAAGGACGGGCTATAACTGCTCCCCTGTTTTCGTCACTGTGAGGAAGGTTGGCATGGAGCACATGATTGGCTTGCGCTAGTCTGTGACGTCAATTATCCGCGTCTGTAAATCGTGTGACCTTCTAGTAATTTGTGAAGTTTTTCTTTAACCGGCTGGAGAGGGTGCGGGTGGTGCATTGCATAAGGTTCTTTGTTCTGGGATTTATCATAAAGGTAAGGAATGTTGTTGTGTTTTTCGTCCTTTTTCCTCTTATTTTCTTCCCCATCGATGTTACGTTTGAGCATCTTGAAGTTACGAGTCGTTTAATATATTAAATGTTGTGTCCTTGTTGGAGGTGAGCAAAAAAGGCTTGCGGAAGAGCGCTCTTAGGCCGGCATGTCGATAATGTGAAACCACTGAAGAAAGAGTCCACGAGTGTTTTATTCTTTAAAGATAGATGATATGTCAATTATAAATACCGTCCAATTATTTTCTCTATTTAGTGTAAAATTGAAGCTTTCATTCGGATCACACCGGAAGCTTACTGAGTTCTGTCGCTTAATCGAGTGCAAGTGGCCTTAAAGGCGTGTAAGCGAGTATCGCCTTTTTTGTCATTAAAAACATCTCCAACAGGTGGATTAATCTTTTAATTGGAGTACGGACTTTAAAATGAAAGAAGAAAATGACAAATACGGAAGGCTTGATCAACTGTACAGTTTATATTTAAGTTTAAAATCTCCTTAAAGGTCGTTATTGTTCTGGTGTACTTCAATAGGATTGTGTGACTTGATTAAATCAACTCTATCCCATCTTAAACGTGTTAATTCGAATGTTTGTTCTTGAAAAGCTGTCTTTAGTCACCTTTGATTAACTTACTCCTGTAGCAGATCGTCAGATTATATTAACTTGGTCATAAAAATGTTTGTAAAGAAATGTAGCTGTTCACACATCATTTCAGCCGTTGACCTTTACCAGAATTTTATCACCTTCAGGACATGAGGAGTTTTAAAGATTTTATCATGTTACAATATTGTCAATTACAAATTGTGATTTATACTTTATTCTTAAAGGATAACTGTTGGCTTTATCATGTTCAAAATAGGATGTGTCTGTAGTTTGAAAGAGCTCCACTTTTTTTAGTTTCATATAAGCTGTCACAAATCCATTCTGAAATATTGAGGTTCATAACATTGTCAGCTGTTTTGGATGATTTTAAATGTTTATTCTTTTCTTGTTTGAACAGGGAGGGATCATGGCTGATGCGGAAAAGGGAAAAAAGGTTTTTGTGCAGAAGTGTGCGCAGTGTCACACGGTTGAGAAGGGAGGAAAGCACAAGGTCGGCCCAAACCTGTGGGGTCTGTTTGGGCGCAAGACGGGCCAGGCAGAAGGCTTTTCTTACACGGAGGCAAACAAGAACAAAGGTATGTGGGATGGATTATATGCTGTATCTGTTGCACAAATGCAGTAACCTCTTGTTTGTAAGACTAATGTCTCTTCTCTCCTGTTTAAATTTCAGGCATTGTGTGGGGTGAAGATACCCTCATGGAATACCTGGAAAACCCGAAGAAATATATTCCAGGAACCAAAATGATTTTTGCTGGCATCAAGAAGAAGGGAGAGCGGGCTGATCTAATTGCATATTTGAAGAAGGCAACGTCTGAATAGAAAATGTTCATCTTAAATTAATTGCAGTGTACAGTCAGCTTTGATGTTATGTCTTTGTTAGTGGACTATATTAAACTTTTTAATCTCTAACAATCACAGTCTGTCTTGTCTTTCTCAGTGTATTATTCTGTAGTTCGCCTTCATCTGTTATGTGAATCACTATTAAATGTTTTATGTTGAATTATCTTAAGTTGTAAATTAAGGGTACAACCTCCAATTCTCAAAGGCATGTTGCACATAAGTCTACCAAAATGATACCCAGATTGTTCCAAAGAACCTCCAATTGGAAGGAGTAAACTTTTTCCCTGGTTCCATGGGTGAAAGTGAAGTTGAGACACTTTTAATCTGGAAATACACCTGCATTCTAAAACTAGTTTGTGAAAGCAGCTGTACATCTTTTAAAATAATTATCATGATTGAACTGATGCATCTTTTATTTCAGTTTTATGATAGATGGGGGGCTGTTGTATGTTAGCAACATGATACGGTAGTTTCTTGACAGCGTGCTGATTAAAGCCTTGATTAAAGCTTGGCTGAGAAATAACCTCAGGATCTGCTTATCCTTGAAGAGTTAATACACTTAATAGAGCCTCTCTTCGGGGTTTAATCAGCAATATCCATTTAGTTAATTTGTTTTTAGGTTAATCTAATATTTTAATTTGTTTCTTTCTTCTCTGGTTTTTAGCAAGGACTAAAATGTAATATCTGGCATTTCAGTGTTCACAAGTTTTAAAACTTAAATCAGTTATTTTTAAAATTTGTTTTTTCTTATGCTTCTGACCTTGACAGTTAATTGAATCTGCTCTGTCATTTGCTTGTTCCCACGAAGGATTTTGCCAGGTTTCTACTGAATATCTGTATCTTTGTAATATCTTACAAAGATATTCTAGCGGTCTTCTGGACCCTAAGAAGTGAATCTGTTTAGCCTTAAAAACAGAAGACCACTAGGAGGAGCTTATCCAAATACATTGTTTTTCAGATATTGGACCAAAAAAGGAAAACACTGGGTAATCAGGGATGTCAAGTAGATTAAAAGCAAAGGTTTCCATACAGATGTGCCTCATGTGTTAAGTAAGCAAGTATCATCCCAGCATTCTTTGTGTCAGGTACAAACATGTAAGACAGGCCTGGGTGCCTATAATTACGGCTGCCGTGGCAACAAGAGGGGAGCTCTAACTTTGAAAGTGACAGCATTTAAGGTGCTGTCAGTGTTGAACTCCAAACTAAAGATATCACTGGCAATGGGGAACAGTGCGCGAAAGGGCATACTCTGCGATTGTGATATCCACACATTTGTGTGAAGTGCAAGCCAAAACAGATGAGCAACCCTGGTTGCAAGAAGACTGTTTTATCAAATACATTCTGTTGTGAACTACACAGGGTGGGATACCATTGTCTGGTTGCAGTGTACAAACAGGTTCGGGTGGGTCTGTAATGCTGTGGGACACATTTTTCTGGCATGGTTTTGGTGCACTCAATCCCTTAGGAAGCAAGCGTGTTTCTAATTACTACTTAATGGTACAGAGTGATCATCTCTACCCCATGTTGCAGTATTTATTGTCTTTCAGGATGCCAGTGCCCTCATTCACAGAGCTCGTTTGGTTGCTCAATGGTTTGTTGAGCATTGTACTGATGTTATCCATATGTCATGGTTTTCTCAGTTACCGAATCTGAACCCAGGTGTGTATTTATGGGACATTCTGGTGAGACAATCTTTTCCACCTCCATTAATTAAACTTGAGTTGATAGACATTCTCATTGAAGAATAGTGCTGCATCCCTCCTGCAAAATTCCAGACATGCTAGAGTCTATGTGTACCTACACAGGCCTTATTGGTCACACGTGGTGGCCCAGTGCCTTTAAGTGATTTTACAATATTTTGCTGTTTTCATTATTTTTTGTTCGCTGCCAACACCCTGTGCTTCTCCAGACCAAACAGTGAAACTCAAAGCAGAGCGTAAAAGTAGAAATTACAAGAGAGTGCACTGTAAATTAAAAACAGGGGGGTACTTCTTTACACAGAGGGTTGTGGGAGTGTGGAACAGGCTGTTGCATACATGTTATTAAACATGTTGTAGCCGGTACCTTGTATCTTTTAAGAAACCCTTGGATGAGATCCTGGATCCATTAGGTGATGAAAATTCAATCGAGTCTTCTCTCAATTGTTTGATTATTACACAATTAACATTGTGGATATGTAATTATTATATCTGAAAAGTCAAATGTCTAACGAATAGGAAAATGTAAAACCTTTCACACTCTCAGTGTTTGTGTGTCTCTTCTTGTGTTGCTTTTGTAAAATGTTTTTGGAGGTTATTGTGCTGAAATATTAAAAAAATGTACATCTGCGTCAAAACTACAATCACAGGGGACATACTGTAACCATTGTGAGGCTTTGACAGAATAAACAATTTCACATCTGCTCTGGCCACTATGGTCTGCTATTAATGTTCCATAATGATAGTTCGAGGAGTCAATGCAAACCAGTAAAGCAAAAACAAAATCAGAAACAAAAACAATAATGATATAGTAATGAATAAAGTTAAATACAGGAAAGTACATAAATGTTAACCTTCCAATGGCAAGCTATTTTATCTGTTTATCATTCATGAGTGTTAGTATCATCTGAATGGAAGGATTAGTAAGCTTAAAATCTAAATTTTTTTGTCAATTGCTTTACCCTTTAATTTTCTTTCAAGGTTATTTGACCTGCTTTCATAACCATTGAGGTGCACTTACAATAGGAGCAATCAGAGGGAAATACCTGCCAAGTGCCAAAACTGTCTTCCTGTTCTCTTGTCTCCTTATACATGTAAATATTAAGAGGCCTGAAGGAAATTCATTTCTGCTGGCTTTTGCCCTTTGAAATACCTTGGTAGAGCAGTCAGAATAGTTAATGAAACAAGTACACACCCAGGGTTCCTTGTAGAAATGTTCAAAATGTACGCAGAGGTCAGGCTATTAACTCTGTACTTTTCTGTCAAATTGCTGTGTTGAGAGGCTTTCATGTAACCCACTGTAGATTTGCTCTTCCGCATTGATTTAGCTTACACAAGCTTACAATCAAGCTTACAATACGGCCAGCAGCCATATCACCCTGCAGCTCACAACTGGCAGCCCAGTGAAGCTAAGCAGGTGTGCGCCTGGCCAGTTCCTGGATGGGAGACCTCCTGTGAAAAACTAAGGTTGCTGCTGGAAGGGGGCGCTCACCATGCGGCCCACGTGGGTCCTAATGCCCCAGTATAGTGACGGGGACACTATACTGTAAACAGGGGCTGTCCTTAGGATGAGACAGGGCGTTTCTCGAAAAGAGTAGGGGTGTAACCCTGGCGTCTGGGCCAAATTTCCCATTGGCCCTTACCAATCATGGACTCCTAATAATCCCCATCTAAGAATTGGCTTCATTACTCTGAGTGTTCTGGTGCACTATGGCTACTGTCGCATCATCCAGGTGGGGTTGCACATTGGTGGTGGTAGAGGGGATCCCCATTACCTGTAAAGCGCTTTGAGTGGAGTGTCCAGAAAAGTGTTATATAAGTGTAAGCAATTATTATTATAACAAGAACAATAATGGTGATGGTGTGTGATTGTTCTGGCTTAATTCCACATTTCTTGTCCTATAATGGCTGCAGAGTGTAAAGAGCATCAGCTTGATAAAGAAATCAGCTGGGCCTCATCAATCTTGTTTTGTTGGAGAGCTGAAGGGAAAGGGAAGCTGAGCAGTCTGGACTCCACGGAAACCCAGGCTGGGAAGTAATTTCACAAATAGGTTAACATTAAATTTGTTTCACAGGTCTGAAAAAATGAACTCAAAATATGTTCATAAAATCTAAAATCACATGATTTTAAAGTAGTGTGTTTTAGAGAATCCCACACAGGCTTTATTACTTAACTCTTCCATGAGCTGTATATTTAAAGAAAAAATATGAAAAGGATGATAATGTACCCTCATATGTAAGATTTCTTGAGTAGTTCATCAGCATTCTGTTTGTTTGGTTTTCTTATTTTTAGAAGTAACCAAAACCTCTCATACATCTTTCATCTTTGTGTCTGATTTTGTCATTTTACTTTTATTTCTAGAAGTATTGAAATCCATGATGGGTCTGTTTTGTTAACACCAGAGAAAGCGCACCTCTCTCATTACCATCTGTGGGAATGAAAACCAAAGGAGAGCTTCTCATTACAATGTTACTGGAAGGGGGTGTCTGGATTGAATGAGCTATCACAGTTGTAATCAAAATACAGTAACAGAACTTCAAGGATCAAACAAAAATGCATGCAGTCTAAATCAATTTATGTTGTATATGATTTCTGTTTTCTCAAGAAGAATACCCTTTATTTTAACATTATACTCAGGCTTCAATATACATTGCAGTTTATCACAATCAGAAAGCCGTAAATAAATGTCATTTCCAGAGCCTGTATAAGGGGTAGTTAATTTCTGGAGTATGGTTCCCTCTGGTGGTGTCTTTATTTTAAATAAACGTAATCTATTTTGTATCAAGGAAGTCATTAAGGCATTATAAAGCTGTATTTTGCAATATTTTCATGGTTAAAAAAATCATTAACTGCATTTGAATGTGGTAGTTTATTCTATCAGCCTGGACTAAAGTCTTCATTATGTGTGATCCTTTGTTCTGAGATTATCATGCTGTACCCAGTGCCATTGCCATATTTTTAATTATTGCTATAATTTGATGTCTATTTAATATTTGCAGGCTTCAGTGTGATTGCAGGCTTCAGTGCTACACTCACCTGACCAGTGGGTTGTGGGTTCAAATACCATGCTCTCGTATGGCTGCTAAATCTTTGAACTTTACCTTGATAGATGCAGCTGCATAAATGTATATGTTGGGTTTGATTCCAGTCTGGGCTGCCATCTTTGTGTCATGGGGTACATGTTCTCCTTGTGCATGGGGTCTTACTGCTGATACTCCACTCTCCTCCCACGGTCCAATACCATTTTGTCTTGGAATGTAAGAATGTTTACGAATGAGAGAAGGCCATTCACCTCTCCTAGGCAGTTTAGTATCTAACTGATCTAATTAGCCATCTGTTGTTTCTTGAAGAAAACCAGGCCACCAACTTCAACAACATGACTAGAGAGTATGTTCTGTACTCCTGCCATCCACTCCTCTGGGTAAAGAAGTATCTATCTCCTGGTATTGCTTTTAAATGCACTTCCACATAGTTTTCACTTGAGTTCCCTATTCCAGGTTTCACAGATTATTCTAAAACAGATCATTGGGTTGATTTTGTCAGTGCTTTGGAGCAATATGAATATTTGTGTCAGGTCCCCTCATAGTTAATTTACCTCTATATAACATCCCCGGTATGTGGTGTGAGTGAGTGTAGCCTACAGTATACTGGCATCCCATCTGGGTTGTAGTCCCACCATGTGCCTTATGCCTGCCACATCGAACTCCAGCTCATTGTGACACTAAGAATAAAGTTGTTACTGAAAATGGATTATTGCATTCCTTATCTTACACTACAGCGCGCACAGTAACTTAAAAAGCTTGCAATATGCTACAGTATTAGCAACACATTATTTAAAAGGAGAAACTATTCAAATTCTGCAATGTTTTCGTATGTACCGGTAGTATGGGAATTTTCATAGTGCAGGAAATGATTTAAAAAATCCAATAAACAGAAGACAACGTAAATAAAGTGTACTGTATAAGCACCTGAGTCAGCAGCACTGCAGAGTAGTACAACAGGCAGTAGACAGGAGTTGGTGGAAGAGTGCGGAATGCGCAAGTACAGTCTCAAAAGCTGAGTTTTGTGGACACGCCAGAATGCCAGAAAATGGAGAGGGACAGGACAGTCCTGATGATCATGGGTAGTTGGTTCTACCACAGGGGATGAGACGGAGAGGTCCTGAAAAACTGAAGACCAAGGGAAAGGCACAGTCGGCAGAGGTGATAATAAAGAGAGCTGCAGAACAGGATGAGAAGTGTACGAGAAGCAGGAATGTGAAGTTGATGGGGCAGGGGCGGACGAGTGTATCACCCCTGGTCCTGGGGGTTTCCTGGATCAGCAGTTTCTCAAACAGAAACTGAGAGAGTGTCCCTGGGAAAAAATGTGCTGAGACAGAGAGAGGAGAATTTTAAGGGTAACATGAATCTTGCTGATGGAGTAAAAAACTAAAGAAATTATAGCACAGACAGAATCATGGGCATAAGGCATAAACAGTAACATTTATTGTTCTATTAAAAGTGTAAAGGATTTACTTTTGTGTTATAGACCCCTCGTGGGTACATGTAACTTTAAGTTCCTTATTGATAATTCTAATTATCTTAATTATTTTGGTAAAACATCTCAACTAACCCTTTCTGCACACAAAAGCTTCAGTGTCCACTATTACATCAAGAAGCAATAAAACTATAAAATAGTATAGCACTCTAAAGCAGTAAAGGCTCTCATCTCGTATGAAGCAAATTATTTCCACCAGACCTAATGACATCAATTGAACTCTTCTCCAAGTGGGAAAATATAGCATGTGAGGAACTGGACCTAGATATTCAAGCACATCACATGAAAATCTTAACAACTACACAAAGTGCTCCCACACCTAATAAACATGCAGAAGCTTCAACAATTGGAGTACACTGATGGAAAAACCCAAATACAAACTAGTTTAGTCCTCTAGCCTGATAAAGTATTTCAATTGTGATTACATTCACATTTTCGATAATAGCCAGGAAAGTACCCTTTTATACAGGTGGTCTTAGAATTTAGGTATTCTGCTTCATTCATTTAAAAAACTTACACGTACTTTGGTAGATATATTTGATATGTTCTAAAAGTAAAAAAAAAAAAACCAGAAAATTCCAGCATTTGACTAGATAATTGACAGTGAATTTTGTAGCCGTTCAACTTTATAAAGCTCTGGTGGCCATCCTGGACTGTCTGTGGGTTTTCTAGGTTTGCTGACAGAACAGCCCCCTAGGACCATAATTGAAGAACGCTGTCATAATGCACGGTTGACCAGCTTTGGTCTTAAAGACTGGCAGTTTATCGCATGAAGCACAATATCTAAATCACCACTATCAGGGATCTGCAACTTCTTCGTACGTTTTAGAAATCAATATACCTTTCCTGATGCAGCAAATAATACTTAAAAGCAGCGGCGAAATGCTGCATATGATTTTTTTTTCAGCTACGAATGTCTTTAAATATACAGTATGTATGATTATTCACACTGTCATTTTCAGTGCTTCCCTGGTAGGGAACAAAATAAACCACAGTGGCTTTAAGTACATTTCTAGTATAAACATTAAACGGACACATTCATGTTGAGAACTGAGAAAATACGGACTCAGGAGTTGTTGTAGCAAAAATACATTTCGGATTCCGTTTTAATTCATGAAAAATAGGAGCGAGCAGGGGGCTTACCGAGGTCTTGTGCTATAAAGAATTCCCTTTACGGTGAAATATTCGTGCATAAACCCCTCTCATAATGACTATATTACGTATTTGTTCTGTGGCTCGTCATTTACAATAGAGATTTTACAAGATTACAAGATTCTTATGGCAGATCCCTGAAACCAACATAACGTAAATTCAAACATACATGCAAAGCTTCCATCCGTATCTTTTTTCTCTGCACTGTAAAGCATAAACTATCTTAAGGGGTACAATATTTTCATCGTCTGCATTCTGCAACCAAATAGCGAAGCAATAGCAGAGTCTTTATCTTTCTCTGCTTTAAAGGGGAATACGAAGACGTTTTAAAAGTACATTTCTGTCGATTCCAGATTATTATACAGCTTTCGTTTTACGTGTAAGTGAATGTGTTAAGGACGTGGGCGAATGTGTGAAAAACAGACCAACCTACAGCAAACGTCACACCGCTACGGGGAGGATCCAATTTCTCTGCCTTCACTGGTCCTACTGAGCTACGCAGCATCAGCGCTACAAGCGTTTCAAGTTAGAGGATAGCACTGGATTTTCGCTCCCTTGTACACCAAAGAACATGTTTCAGAATCGAGTTAGTAAGTAGCGAGAGAGAACCGTCTTTCCGAAATATTTTATTGTACTATTCAGAATGTTATTACTTTTCAATACTATATAGTTTGCATTGGATAGGATTATATGCGATCGTACGCTGATTGTTTAAAGTGACTCCAAATCGTGCTTTTCTATGCACAACTTTCTTTTTCGCATTAAAAAAACGGCTTTTGTTTTTTTTTAAATGTTCATTAACTTAATAGTGTGGCTTGCCTTACATCGTCAGTATGGACTTTTCGGAGGTAGAAAGTTTTCTGGACAAACATCCAGAGTTATTTGAAGATTACCTGAATAGGAAAGGGAAACCAAGCATGGTGGAAAAATGGCTCAAAAATCACCAGGTGAATAAATCTCCAGGGAATCCGAGCCCAGATGGTGATAAAACTAGTAGCAGTAAAGACTGTTGGGTGAACAAGGCTGGTGATGGCTTGCACAGACGTGCGTCGCAGAAGGAGCTGAGGAAAAGTTTTGCGAGATCCAAGGCTATTAATGCCAACAGGACATATGATGAACATGTAAACTCTAGAGCGCAGGAACCCCTAACAAGCATGAGACGGAGAGCTCTCTTGAGAAAAGCCAGCTCCCTGCCACCAACTACCGCTCACATTTTGAGCGCTCTTCTGGAATCCCGAGTTAACATACCCCAATACCCTTCAACGGCTATTGACTACAAGTACTACCTTAAGCAGCATAACGAAAGGGAGTTCTTTCTTGAATTGGTTAAAGACATTTCAAACGACTTGGATCTAACTAACCTCTGCTACAAGATTCTCGTTTATGTCTGCATCATGGTAGATGCAGACCGCTGCTCCTTGTTTTTAGTCGAAGGCACCGCTAACAAGAAGACTCTTGTGTCCAAATTCTTTGATGTTCATGCGGGAACCACAGTGTTACCTTCTTCAAGTATGGAGAACTCAAATGAAGTACAAGTGCCGTGGGGAAAGGGTATAATTGGATATGTTGCTGAACATGGGGAGACTGTTAATATCCCTGATGCCTATCAGGTATGTTTGGTTATATAACATTTTGCGCATTAATACAGTAGTAGTGGGACATATTTTTTCATTTCCAGGTAGTCTAGACGTTGAATAATAATAATAATGATAATAATAATAATAATTGTGAATAGTACAGTGGAGTGTACAGAATGTAAGAACACATAAAGATGTCCTCACAAGTAAAAAGAAGTGTTTAATACTCTATACAGTCCATCGTTTACGGTTTTTCTGCCCGTGTGAAACAATTTTCTCAATCAAGACGAGCAGCTGTGGACATAACGCGAAAATGGTAAGCGTGTGCGGTTTCGGTGTTGACCAAAACCAGGTTTCTGTCTTGCAGAAGAAAAATGCAAGAAAAAAACCCTGTGATGACGCAAACAGTCCTGAGACTACAATCAAGGACATATGAAAGCGTTTCACGTGCCATTAACTTGGTGATGCACGCGGATATCAAATACACTTTACTAATAAAATTATACCTGCGTACGACAGCTGTAAAATAATGGTTTAATAACAATCTGAACTCTGTAGTTTGCTTTGTATGATTATTCATTATAGAATTTCTAATCCATTTTTATCTACTTTATATGGATGCACATTTGTAAAACAGTTATCTTAAAATGTTACTTTGTAAAAGCTTCAGGATACAATAACAGTATTGCACTCACGCTATGCAACGCATTATTACACAAACAATCGTCCAGAGACAAGCAACAGATGTTCTTTTCAAAAACGTTGAAGTATCAACAACAGAGGATTTTAAAAATTCAAACGAGGCTTAGGGTGCTTTATGAGTGCTTTTTTTAATGACAGTGCAGGTGCAACAGCGGGCATTTAAAATAACAAAAACAAACGTCAGAAATATCTGTCAGCAAAACGACACAACGCACCACGGGTATATTGATAATTAATGGGTTTTAAAAACTGCACTGAGTCTAATGATATTATGCTGAAAGCCACTAGTCTGGGTGATGAAAATAACTTGTCACTGATGTGTATTAATGATACCCAACATTACTTTCCAAAGAATGTTTGATCAAAATAATTTAAGACGAGGAGGAAATACGGCGTAGGAGACAGCATAAAATAGATTTTATCTATCACTGTGCTTAAACAGCCTGAAGGATACTGTTCGGAATTTGACACTAGGTGGCGACTAGAATGTGGCAAACGATTTTTTTAAAGATTAAATATGTAATTGCAGGTCTGCTACTAGACTGTAGTTTCTATGAGGCCACCCCCAAAGTATTTTTAAAGTCACAATAAATCATTAATTCAATAATGTTTTTCCCCATGAAATAACCTTGCAAAATACCATATTTACCCCAGTAATTATTCAATACAGCCTTATTCATATCACCTCTTTACAAGGATCTCAAAAGAGCTTTATATACAGGAGGGGATCCACTTCATCCGATTCACTGAAGTGTAGTACCCACATCGGTGACACCTGTTTTTGCCACAACACAGCAGTTTGGGCTTAGAAGAGAAAAATTGCTGAATTAAATTTAGGGAATCCAGATTGTGCAAGACCAGAGTGGAATTTAGCCAGGAAACTGGGATTAACAGTTTTACTGTCATGTCTGTTGATGGGTGACAACTTTTATAGCACAGTGTTCCCAGTCTCCATACGCCATAGACCACTGCAGAAATTCTGGAACAGTGGGCTAAGTGGCACCTACTTAATGGTCCATCAACTCTGTATCCACAGCTTTATTTCCTTGTAGGTTGCCCATCACATCACATTGAAGCATCCAGAATTTGAGAAGTGAAGTGAAAAGCTGGTGCTCTCAAAATTCCCAGTACATCCTTTTTCCAAACACTTCATCCAAGCATTTGGATGAAGACACAGACACGCATACACTCAGTTTTTGCCAGTCTTTACCAGTCTTGACCCTCTAATAATCCCCATCTATGAATTGGGTTCATCACTCTGTTCAACTTCCTACTGATAGCTGATGTGTGGTGAACATTCTGGAGCACTATGGCTGCTGTCGCATCATCCAGGTGGGGGCTACACATTGGCGGTGGTGGAGTGGAGTCCCCATTACCTGTAACGCATCCAATGTCCAGAAAAGCGCTATATAAGTTTATTATTATTAGGTCTGGTTCCCCTCTGACACTAAATTGAATTAAATTGTTAGAAAATGGATATATTATTATTAATCATAATCACTGTATTATTAAGGTTCCCTAGAATACTGTTTCAGAACTCTTATTTGAAGGTGAGGTTTTTTAATATAAAAAGGTGATGCCAACAAATTACCCAAGAAAAAATGAAAATATACTTGTTGGTTGTTAGTTATTTTATTGTTTTACTTTAAACAGAATTTGTACTGGGTTTTACAGGTTAAAGCTTACTGAGGTTTACAATATGTTTTCCACTACTTGGATTGCATGTCAAGTAAAAAAATATAGTTTTGTTTCATAGTTAAACAGTTTAAAGATCAATGCGAAATTACTGAAAAATCCTTCAAAATGTTATCTATTTCAGTTTGCTCTTTTTTAGGCCTTAATCATCTGAACTAGTTTTTCATTATCAAGTTTAAAGCAAGTGGTATTAATAATTTCTTTTGTGTTAAAAGAAAAGGAAAAATCGAATTCCGATAATTGTGATCAATTTAATGCAGGGACAGCCTTATAACACTCAACAAAATGTGTCGTATTTAAAGAATATAGTGTTGTAATTAAAATAATGGCACAATTCCAGTGAATCGTGGGAAAAATGTCTCGTGAAAGAGGCTGAGGTAATTAATTATTATAGGGTTGCTTACCATAAGATGCTTTCATCACCTCAATTATTTAGGAAATTGTTTAGACATGATAAAAAAAGGCTTTCCAAAAACTGAAAGAAAGATTAAAAAATGTGACATAACTCTTAACTGCAGTTTAACCTGCATGCTGGTATATTATGTTTTTATTAAGGGAAGCATAGCAAGACTATATAATGTTGGTGATTGCATGTGTGGTTATTTGATCATTTATCAATTTGTAGTAGCAAACATCTGTTATGTTTCCTTGGTTTATTAAGAACATAGTGAAATCAGTGACATGTTTGAGTCCAATAAATGCTAGACAAACATCTTAGTTCAATTAATTTCCATTCATTGCGAAGGTATTGAACTCTGAACTTCACCTGATGCAACTCAGGAAACGTAATCATCACCAAAGGCAACCAATCATTGAGGCACCAAACTAACTGAGGCTCATAATTTTTCCCTAACCACTAGTTATACAAAACTCACAGTTTGGACTATGGGTACTTTCTGTCCTGTTATTGTAGAAGATCAGATTTCATGACTGACAGATCTTTTCTCCCATTCCTTTTAGTATTCTGGAATAGGCGCAGCAAAGTCAATTTGGCCATAGGCCAGTTGTGTAGCACTGGGTATAAACATCAAACAAGAGAAGAGGCAAACCACAGCCAAACTGTCTGGCTACAGAGTGATGCCAGGACATCTTGAAAAGTTTATTGACCAGTAAAGGCGCGGTATCGATCAAGGTTATTTAGGGCCCAATACAGAGTCTTTTGCAGTACAGAAAACATGCAAATGCATTCTTAAAGGGTAAACTTTGAATAAATGCACCGTTAAGCCTGAGCACAGTAAATAATTGCTTGCATTTTTATGGTTGGTTTTTATAGTACATTGTCTGTTTTTTTACTGTCGTAGAAATGAAAGGTTTTAAAGAGAATATAGAGGACATGGGATCAACTGTTGTTGTTCACAACAAAATGCTAAAATTAATCTGTAATTAATTTTATCCCACGTATTTACAAAGAGATTTTTATTTCACACTGAAATCCCACTTTAAACGTATATGTTATTTCTGAAAAGTGTTTTGTTATTCTTATCCTGCTCTTCCATGCTTCATAGGACCACCGCTTCAGTGATGAAATTGATAAACTGACAGGATACAAGACTAAGTCTCTGCTGTGCATGCCCATTAGGAACAGTGATGGGGCGATCATTGGAGTTGCTCAGGCTATAAACAAAAATCCAGGTGGTGGTCTTTTCACTGAAGATGATGAAAAGGTAAGAGTACCATAACTGTGTACAGATACAGTAGATAAACAAATGTAATCATACAGGAAAATAAAAGGTTAATTTCCTGTTCTGTGGTTAAAGACTGTGAGATTTAGGTATGTTCTGTATTTTTGTGTAACTATTTTATATTTTTTACAATGCTTGAAGTTGTTATGCAAGCCTACCTGAGACATTTTACCATAGCAAGTTAGTAAAATGATATAGTTGCAAATATTCCATCATATATACTTTCAGAGAATACAGCTCAGAAAATATATGTTCTGCACTTACAGTTGTACTTGAAAACTGAAGATAATAGCCTGGAAAATTGAGTGCTTGTGTGGGATTGGGGTGGAGAAATTTGCACACTCCTCTGAATTTCAGTGATTTATACATACTAAAGTGTAACAAGCAGGAACATCCATTTCACAATGGCTCTGATCTGATTTTGAATGCAATATATAATTTTATCTGGTACTTTCTGCAACATGGCACAGTCCCAGAGACTTTCTCCCACACCACATTATGCTGTAAGGATATGTATGCTGAGGGTCATCAAAAGTACAACAAATTCTATTTATTCCAATACTCATTCGTTGTGTTTTTGATGGCAGCCAGTATTTTATCCAGCCCAACATTTATTGCATTGTCCTTCAAATGGAGGGTGTTCACATATTAGCGCAGCAGACACACTTTAAATTACAGAATGTTTTATTTGCAGTTTACACTATTTACAAACCTTAAGTACATGGCAAAGATGGGGTTGTTTTTGAACACTGCATCATTTCATATCACGTTTGTGAAATTATATTTGAATGCTTCATAACTAGAGAGAATCAAAACCCGTTTATCACAAGTTTTTTTTAAAAAACAAAGGTTTTGGTAAATACAGGACAGGGATTTTTTAAAATAAAATCCAATCCAAAACCATATTTCTTTCACTTACTTTGCTGAAGTCTTATTGTCAGGCTGAACTATTGTCATGAACTTCCTGTTGTTCATATAAACTACTACTGTTCATCACTCTTAAAAAGTGGAAAGATGTATTTGAGAAGGTTATGAAATAAAATGGTTATCAAGTGCTGGCTAGAAAAATTTCACTTCAGTTTATTTGAGTTCACCACTGTAAAAATGTTGTATTATGTGACCATTACTAACATAAGAACACCATGTAAACCTTTTTCTTATTACTTTTCTCCTTAAGCCCAATGTTCAATGTGATTGTTGAGACCTGTGATAAAATAATCGTTGACTTTGTATTAAGGAGGCACCACAGTGTGCTGTTGCATTGATCTGATACAGACTACACCTCAGCTTTTTTAAGATTAACAGTGCTGTTACTGTATTTCTTGAAGCAGGATAGATTAAAGTGACTGATATTTCAAGATATATTTGTGGGAGTCATTGACCATTTTGTGCTTTTAAAAGCAGGTATTTGGAGTAATTCATGGAATGCAATTATGTACGGTAGACATTCCAATTTCTGTACATGAAAACAAATCATTATTCTATCATTTTCTTTTTATAAATGTTATATTTAATAATAACCTTTTGCCCTTGCTGGGTTTTCATGTACTATAGATATAGATAAACCTATATTTATTAACAGGCTTTTATCAACCCTGTACTTAGTAGGTTATTCAATTATTTCTATTTCATAAAATAGAAAGAACACACAAGACAGTTATGTGGTATTGAGTTGTCATTTAAAATATGTACCAGTGATTCCTACACATCAACGGTATATAGATAAATTCCCTTTTAAAAGAGTTTTTAAACTTGAAACATAGTCATACACTTTATAAATTAGCATAAGATTCTTGGCTGGTTTGCTAATTTTCTGTGAATGGCAGTTGGGTATAGTCATAGTGTCATTTTGCAGCTTTCCTAAGACATTTTGTGTTATCTGTGTAGTAGTGACTTTTTCAAGTTTGGTAAACAAGACAACTGACTATTATTAAGGAGAACTGACCTGATCATGCATTCATTAAAATGACACAAAATTGTCTCTCATTAAACTTCACGGATTGAATTTGATTGATTGAACTGTTACTTTTGTTAATATCTGAAAATGTATTTTGTTTTATTATAAATTTCTGATTTGGGAAAATCAAAGCAGAGGCATAAAACATATCACCCATTTAAAGACCATCATTCAGATATTTGTCAGTATAACTGCAGTTCTATATGATGACATATATGTCTTCTTTAAAAGAATTTACAGCATAAAAAATTGCTAGTAACCCATAGTTTATTATAGGAGAACTGTTTTTACTACCCACAGTATTTTGTAATCCTTACTGTAGCAGTCACTTTTAAATACCTTAAACTGCATGGGAAGGTTTCACAAATTATTTGGAATAAACTGATCTTCTCCTGAAATCCTTGTTTGGTGTCTGCAGATCAAGCTTTAAAAGGCTGAAAATTAATTTAGTAATTTTCAGCAAATTAGAGTTAAGTAAATATGTATTAAATAGATCAAATAGAGGTTATTTTTCTTCATCTTTTACCTTCATGACTGCAAACCCCACATTTAAAATGTGGGGTTCTTAAAAAGATAATAATGATAATAATTGTCAATGTTAATGACCTCTGGTTTTTCCTTTAAAATGAAACATATAACTAATTATTTCTTATTCTGTGTTGATTTCCTATTTCAATTCATATTTCATACCATATTTAAGCTTATTACATAGGAAATATTAAGGAAAAGAAAATTAGCACAATACCATGACCGGTTGTCTACTGTCCACAAGAGGATTGTGCTACTTTAAAACCATGTCCTCTACTTTAGCTTTTAAAAGTTAAAGATATTAAACATTTTAAAGGGGAACTTCAAAACTATTTTTATATTTCAGGGTTAGACAGAATCAGCATGGATGAGTGCATTTAATAAAAATGTAGGCAGAACTTATAATACTGCCAGTTTACATCACAAAATAGATTAAATTTCCATGCGCAGTTCCATGTTCTGCGATTCAGAACGAGGCAACAAAACCTCTGGTCACATGAAGAGACCCTATTACATTGTACACAAGCAGGCTTGTGAATACATCTCTTTTATTCCATAGAAATGTTGCTCTTGACTTTGAGATGCTTTTGCCAAGAAATACTACTAACTTGTTAACTCTTGTTAACTCACGTTTGAACCTTTCTGCAGTGAAATGTCTGCTGCACAACCTGTACTGTACTTCTTCACTCGGACATCACGTGACATTGGCCATTACAGTGACTAGTGAGCAGGAAAGGCCGCGTCACATCACAAATCGTGGCAACTCACACTCTCACCTGTGGGGTTTGCGACAACATGGCAGCTTATAGTACTTTCACAAAGTTCTAGACTTTGTGCTTCGTTTCAAATGTAAGACTTTGTTATTATAATATTTTGTTATTGGGATTTAATAACCAGTCTGAGAAACTGGGACTACAGTTCCCCTTTTAGGTCCAGTTTTCTGTGAAATTTTAAGCAAATAGAGTGCACATTTAATCAGAAAGAAAATCAGAGGACATTTACCATAAATAAGAGAGTAAATGAGTACATAAGAGAAAATGAGTAAATCAGAACAGAAATAGCCTCAAATACACTTCTAAACCTTTTTCCACCAAGACAATTTTAAATTTTTATACTCTGTGCTGCAAAGATAAGTGAATTAGAACAATGAGAACCTTTGAAATACATTTAAAATGCTTGAATGGCAATATTCAAAAAAGGTGGATGAAAATATTGCAGTTTCATTATTTCCACTAAAATTAATTTGGTGGAAAGATATTATACAGTATATCTTCAGAGAGGCACAACCTTCTTGCTTAGAGTTTATTGTCTGATACAAGGCAGTTCTTTTCGCAAAAGCCAATAAAGCTTATTTAAAATACTGCCAGGGTCTCACATCAAACTGACACAGTTTGCATTACGAGTAAGAAGCAGCTGACCTCTGCTTTTCTTGTGTAAAGACTTATGTTCTAATTATTTATTAATTGTGATGTAGGCATTATTAGCAATGAGGGCTAGTATTTATTACTCAATAAAGAAGGAGCTGAGCAGGACAGATAGGGTTCCACTGCCTTAAAGTGCTGTGTTGTCCCCAGGGTCTGGAAAAAAGCATCAGAGATCAGCGCATTTTAGATTCTCCTTGTCTCTCTTCCCACACTTTCTGAATTTCCACTGCTTACACAGGGGTTTCTTGTGCCCAGGAGCTGTTGTCAGAGTGTCTGATTGCATTTTTTATGTTTCTGATTGCCAACTTAATCTGTATCCACGAGGACTGGGAAATCAAAGAATTGTCTTTATGTGAAGAGGGGGCAAATTCTATCCTGACAGTATAGCTTAGGCTTCCATGCTTTAGCTTTGTTCTAAATATATGATCCAATCCGTGAGAATCTTATGGTACGGTTGTCGTCTTGGTCGCCTGTTTCTATGACAGGAAGAATGGGGGTGGGTTCCTATGTCAAGGCCATGAGAACCACATGTGCTTGAAGCTTACATTCTCATTGTGTCTTCTTAAAGGCCAATTTATTCCACAAGCGTTATGCACCCATGAAAAGACCTCTCAGCACAAATAATTACTGTTTTTATTTACAAATGCCACTGTCTGCTGTGTTCATATCATATTTAATTTACTTTTAAAGGCTTCTTTGGCTTCCGGAATGTTCAGATTTGCACCTCAGGGCAGCCAGGTCAAGGATGAAAAAAAAACAAGAGGCTGTGTGGCTGACAGATATCTAAAAACAACTGAGAAAAACATAGTCTGTTAATGACAGTGTATTGTACTTTGATGCTGTTGATATTAGTGGTGAGTGCAAAAGGACCTAGGATGCAGGATGCCCTAGAATTACTTCAAATTGCCTAATAGAAATTTAACACCTTGCTTAATGTACAGCTCGAGTTCCCATCAGTTTGCACAATATTATGGAAGAGAAATGTGATTTTATTTTCTGAGTTTAAGAGAGCTCTTAGATTGTAATTACATGTTTATGGAAAGTAATTGCTTTGAAAACAGAACCAATTGACG